ATCAATGCCAGTTGGAATATCACAGAAGAACAGAAAGAGTGGTATGATTTAAACAGGGAACAGACAGAGGACAGTTCTGAAGAAATAGTCATGAGTGTAGAGGAAGAATGCACAGACAACTGGACAGAGGATCCAAACTTTCACACTAGATTAACTGGTAATACAGATACACTGATGTATCCTACTGATGTAAGGTCTCTCTGCAGAAATTTTTCTTTTGCGCCTGGTGAAAATCAAATCCCCCTAGGTTTATATCAGGATCCACATGCTGAATATCTAGCTTTTCCTACAATATTTTGTGGTCAGGATCGTCCATCTAACAAAGACAGGTTAGTTCCAGTCACATATAGTACCATATGTAAGTGGGAGTTGAGATCAAAAGACAGGAGAGTAGCTTGCTCAATGCCAAATTTGTTTTTCAAATTAAAAAAGATACAGGTAAAACAAATTCAAGACAAAGTAATTCTTGCCATGAGAAAGTGCCAAAAAGATGGCAAGAAGATAACAGCTAAGCAAGTTTTGAACCCTGCTGCTTTTGACAATATTGTACGATTAAATGAAGGTTATAGGGTTCTACGGACATTGAGAGGATCCCCTGCATACTTGGAAAGTGCTAAAAAGGATAAGACAATTGGGAATACCAACGTGGTTTTGTTCATTTTCAGCTGCAGAAACAAGATGGACTAGTCTGCTAAAAATTCTGAGTACATTACTGAACAAAACAGAATTATCTGATGAACAAATCTCTGAGCTCTCTTGGACAGATAAATGTGAGCTTAGAAAGATCCAGTGACTTGCTCAAGGTATTTCCATCACAGGTTCCAGATATTCAGGCAAAGAATCTTGAAAAGCAGTTTGAATCCGCTTGGGAAAATTGTTGATTTCTTTTTCCGTGTAGAATTCCAGCAAAGAGGTTCTCCACATATCCACATGCTCTTGTGGATTGAAAATGCCCCTATTTATGGAGAAATGACAAAAACAGACATAGAGGCTTTTATCGACAAGCATTGCACATGTAAAGAATGATGAAATACCAGAACTGATCAATTATCAAACACATAGACATGCTCATACATGTAAAAAGAGGGGAAAAAATGTCTGCCGATTTAACTTTCCTTTGCCACCAATGCCACAAACAAAGATTTTGGAACCCCTTGATGACAAGGAATTCGAAGAAAATACTCAAGTACAGCAGGATTATCTTAAGATTTTTGAATATTTAAATGAAATCAAACTAGGGGAAGAAATCACTTTTGAAAATTTCCTAAAGGAACTAGGAATAACATTTGAATCCTACGAAATGGCTATCAGGTCAAGTTTGAAATCAGCAAAAGTATTCCTGCAGCGTAATGTGTCAGACATAAGAATTAATTCATACAATGAAGTTTTATTAAGAGCTTGGGAAGCTAACATTGATGTCCAATTTGTGCTTGATGGATATGCTTGTGCAGCATACATAGTCTCGTATATTTCAAAATCACAGAGAGGAATGTCCAATTTGCTACATGAAGCTTGTGAAGAAGCAAGGAATGGAAACATGTCCTTAAAACAGCAAGTAAGGAAGATTGGAAACAAATTTCTCACACATGTGGAAATATGTGCACAGGAGGCAACATATCTAATATTGCAAATGCCTCTGCGTAATAGTAGCAGAAGTGTTGTATTTGTCAATACTAATGAACCAAAACAAAGAACATTTTTACTTAAACCGATGGAATCCTTGCAGGAACTACCAGATAATTCCACTGATATTGAGTCGGACAACTCAATTAAACGTTATCAAAGAAGACCAAAGTCACTACAAAATTGCTGCTTAGCAGACTTCATCTCAAAGTTTGATGTAATTTTTCCTGCAAAAGATAAAGGGCAACAACACATTGACTTACACCTATTGCCAGAGGATGAAAGAGAGGAAATAAATGAAGATGACATTTTTCAAGAAACAGATACTGCTGAAAATAACTACGAAAAAGAGTATCAAATGAAAGATGGTTCAATACTGAGGCAGCGAAAAACACAGAAGATCATAAGATATGTGAGATTTAACAGGGAACAGGACCCAGAAAATTACTTCAGAGAACAACTGATGCTGTTTTTACCATGGAGAAATGAAGACCATGACTTAATGGGGAACTTTGCCACTTATGAGTTGTATTTCTTTCACAATCAAGAGACCATAAAAAAGAACAAGAAACAGTATGAGGCTGATAAAGGAATAACAGATGTTGTAGAAAATGATATGCATCATATGTCAGTTGATGGTAATCATGTTGTTTCAGCAGAAATTCAACATCAAGAGGAACTTGACTTACAACAGGATGTTGAAGTATGCGAAACACACGGATGTTTCAATCCACAATTTATGGGAGCAGAATATGATATAGGCACAGATTTGGGAATCACAAGGAAGTAAATTGAGACAAATGATGTAGTATTGCATCAAATGACTGACACTGAATATAAGAATAAAGTACGGTCTTTAAATGAGGATCAAAAATTATTCTTCTACCATGTACTTCATAAGGTGAAAATGGGAAATTTTCCATTCTATAACTTTTTGACAGGAGGTGCAGGTGTTGGTAAAAGTTTGTTGACAACATGCCTATATCAAGCCATCACACGATACTATGCAAAACAGCCAGGAGAAAATCTTGATGAAATAAAAACTGTTCTGTGTGCTCCAACAGGTAAAGCTGCATATAACATAGGAGGACAAACCATTCATTCCTTGTTCTGTATCCCTGCAAATCAAAACCTGTGTTATAAACCTCTTGATGCACAACAGCTAGATACAATAAGAGTAAAGTTTCGCAGCCTGAAAATAATTTTTATTGATGAAATATCAATGGTTGGCAATAAAATGTTCAATTTCATTAATTTACGACTCCAAGAAATCTTTGCAAGAAATATTCCTTTTGGAGGGTTAAGTATCATAGCAATTGGTGACCTTTTTCAGCTAAAGCCGGTATTTGATGGGTGGGTGTTTGAAAATCTTGATGATGGATATGGGCCACTTGCGATGAATCTTTGGAGTGAATTATTTCAGGTGTTTGAACTAAAAGAAATTATGCGACAAAAAGAAGACAAAGACTTTGCAGAACTACTGAACAGATTACGGGAGGGATTGCAGACAGAACAGGACATAGAGCAATTAAAAACACGCACGTCTTGCTTGAATGCATTGCAGAATGTCAATCTTGTTCCACATTTATTTACAACAAATCTAAGGTAAATTGTCACAACATGAAAGCATATAATAGTGCTGCTATTGAAAACAAATGCACTGTTTCAGCAATAGACACAGTAGGTGGCGATGTAACCACAGATATTAAAAACAAAATTCTTGCACAGGTATCCGAAAACCCCTCAAAAACAATGGGATTGCATAAGGAACTTCATCTTGTGAAAGATTTGCCAGCAGAAATATGCACAAATGTAAATGTACAGGATGGACTAACTAATGGTAGCCCGTGTGTTGTAAAGAAATTGGATTTTAGAGTTCCTGGTTTCAAAAGATGTAGTATTGTGTGGACTTTGTTTGATGAACCAAGCATTGGGTCTGCCACTAGAATGAAATATGCCCATTTGTATACCAAAGATATTTGCAAATCTTGGACACCTATTGTTGAAATTTCACCAAAATTTACTGTAGGGCGTCATAAGTCCTGTTACGTTACAAGAAGGCAGTTTCCATTAAGGTTAGCCTGTGCCAAGACCATCCACAAAGCTCAAGGGTCAACTCTGAATGATGTAGTAGTAGATTTAGGGACTAGAAAAGAAGAACATATGCATTATGTTGCCTTAAGTAGAGTGCGCAAGATACAGAACTTGTTCATACTGTCTTTGAATGAACAGAAGATAGCAGCATCTGGCAACGTTATCAGTGAAATGCAGCGGTTGAGAGACAATGCTGTGTTGAGGACATGCTTACCAATATTGGGAAATATTGCATCAGATATGAAAATCATATATCAAAACTGCAGGTCCTTGCACCTTCACATGAAAGATGTCTATGCTGACAAAAATTTGATTTTAGGAAACATTATAGCATTCTCAGAATCTAGGCTTATGCATAAAGACAGAGATGAAGATTTTCAGTTGCCTGGTTTCAACATGTATCGTTTTGATGCAGATGTTTCAAATGAATTAGAACGCCTATGCACTGGAATGGTGCTATATTCCCAAATTGAGTTGAATAACCCAAGAAATTTTATTTTATGTGGCATAGAAACTGTAATTGTAACTTTAGGTTACAAGGAATGTGCACTAAACCTTGTGTTTATTTACTGTCCCCCGAAAAAAGCAAGCATCTCTAATTTTTGCCAATACCTGATATCAATTATGCAGTTACCTGAGGCAGACATTCCAATTTTGATCATGGGAGATACAAATATTGACTATTTTTCCCAAAAACAACTTTCCGCATTTATACAAAAAACAAAGCTGAGACAAATTATGCATAGTTATACAAGAGACTATGGAACATGCTTAGATCATATTTATACTACATATGTGTCGAATTCAGATGTTTCTTGTGCCACCTTAGAATCTTATTACTCGGACCACAAACCAATTATTGCTTATTTGCCTCTGAATTAATGGGAAACAATGATTTTTTTCTATACTGTTTCATGAAAATTTCATATTTATTGGCTTTTAGAATAGATGTACACACTGATCATGGGTACTATTTTAAGAATTTCCATATTTCCCCTAGAATGTTAGTCTAAGACAGCTTTTCTTTACTTTTTTTCTTTTTCCTGTAGTGTTTCATTTTTGTAGTGTTTCATTTTATGTTGCATTGTGAGACATATTTATTCGGTAATTGTGCAATAACAGAACATAAAGTCTTCAGATTTAATTAGTATCCCATATAAAACTAAAGCAAAGGTTAATGTTATTAAAGTGGTTGTTTATTTTCAATCTACTGATTATTAATGACTTCATCTTGTGTCAAATTTCTTGCCAGTTATCTATAAAAACATATTTTCTTAATTCAGATGCAAGAAAAATCTCTGAAAGAACTGAGTGAGGAAAGCAAAACCAAGGAGACGGTAACCTACCCACTGGGGAAGTTGGTTGTGAAAGTTGCTAAAGTTGGCCACACAGCAAAATTCACAGGAAGCAATGGAGTGCCAGGAAGCATGCTAAACTTTAGCATTGCTGATTCAACAGATGCAATGTTGGCTACTCTGAGTGATGAGACGCAATTTAACAAAATAAAGGAAGGAAGAACCCTTCAACTCAGGAACTTTCTGGTGAAAGGAAAGAGAGTAGTGCTTTCAGGGCACTCAAAAGTCATAAGTGCATCTGCTCTAGAACTGCCTGATGGACAAATTCAAAAGGCAACACTTCTCATCATGCCTCCATCTCCCTCCAAGACGCTGAGGGAAGCCATGGACTCCCCTCTGCGTGACATCGTAACTATTCAGGGCCAGATAATTCGGGTAAATATTAGAAGTTTGTTCCCTCTAGTAGTGCAGAAATTGAAAGCATTCATATTTTCCATTTACTCACATGTACATGTTTTGCTTTTATTTGAACATATTTCTATAATCTATTGTGTATATTATTTTTTAGGATGAAGCAGTTAAGTTTGTTCAAGTTGGGCAAAAGGAGACAAAAATTCGAACCATCACCTTAGAAGAACACGGAAACACAATGGAGGTAACACTCTGGAGGGATTTGGCAGAAAGCCAGCTTAAAGTGCAAGACTTCGTTGAAATTTGTCATTGTGTCGTGTCTGAGTGGCAAAAGAAGAAATCACTGAACACGACAAGGAACTCTTTAATCAAGGTAGCATACAAGTATTAAATAATGGAAAACTCAAGTTGAATATATATTTTTATGAATAAAAGGAAGCAATGTTGAAGCATCAACACCAGTATAATCGGTAAAATGTTTTAGTTCATGTTTTTGTTTAAAGCATATATAATTTTTGGAAATTGTGTATTTTCTTAGGTTCACTAATGGAAGGTAGTAGTATTGTTGTTCAGAATATAACTTGCTTGTTTTGTAAAGGATTGTCCTTAACATTGCTCAGTTCCTTTCTAGCAAATTATTAAAACTACCTTGCAAATTACAGTTAAATTCTGTAGCTTAAAATATCCATCATACTTTTCAGACTGTTGCTCCCCGTGAAGTTGATGTGACAGGCCAAGTAGAGGCTTTGGCGATACTTGAACAGGACGTGGAAATGTGTATCAGAGACGAGACGAAAGGTTTGAAAGATGTAAAATTTGAATTGGGTTTGCTGAAATTAGAGTTCAGTTTAAGAGAGGACGAAGGAACTATGGAAACTGATGCAGATCTGGAAGAATTCTTGATCACGAAATTGCCGTTCAAGGTTCAAGTCAAATTGACTGGATCAAATGTAAACTCTTTTGACATCCTTGAAATGTAAAGCTATGTTGCGGGTATAAATGACTCGCCTACTATTGTGTCAAAACACCAATGATTATAGAAGGTTTCTATTCTACTTGTGAAACTTCAAAGTTACTGCTATTTTTCATTCATTTGGTCTTTTTACAAATGCATGTGAATATCATTTCCATGTTTTTTTAGCATCAGAGATTTACAAATTGTGAAACATACAAGTATTGTAATGATCCACTTTGGTATTTTCAATAGTAAATGTGTGGTAAATATATGTGCCATTTTTACAGATAACTCAGGGATTCACTTTTACATCTTGTCACCTGATATTGATCAAAACATAAAAATTTTTCATATCATTTCAAGGCTCCTGAACAGCAATTGTCACTTGCAGCAATGCTGACGGTATGAAATGTTGCATTTAGATTGTTCCTTTGTATTTGTGTTACACTTGTAGATAATTCCTTGATCTATGATTTATGTACAGACAAAATTAAGAATGACACATTTTTTCAATTTTAAAATTCATTGCAAAGCTGTACTTCATTTTTTTTTTTTTTACTTTTATAGAGAATTGTCTATTTTCCCTTTATATTATTTCTTCTTTGCATTTGAATGCTACAGCTTTTTGCCCTACATAATTGCTGTGACAGTGCATGATGCTCAAGATATTTTGCGCTTGTGTACATAAAGCTTTTTTCCCTTGTCAGACTGAAGGCGATTCAATATTGTCAGCCTTTGATGTGTTAATATTAAAAACAGTATATGGAAATCGTTTTCATATCATGATTTAATGCCTTATGATCTGCTTAGTGTTACTTTTATGCACATTGATATTGTTTTGCCTTGCATAGCTCTAAGGATTTCATGTAGCATTGATTTTGGTTTTGTTCATCTGCAAAGATTTTTCTTTCTTAATCTTGCCAATACAGGACATTGTAGTATATGTTGTACTTTATTATTATTTTTACAAGTTTTGTATCATAGTATACTATAGTTAGGATAGTTTTTTTTTGTGTGTTTGAATAATTTGATGCCATGGGATTTTTTCCCTGCCAAAGTTTTGTGAAATACTCATGCAATGCAATTTTTCCTTATTGGTATGGTTTTTTCCTATATATACATTTGATGTGTGTAAGCCTTTGCCATATTTCTGCCCTCATATATTTCATTGTCATGGCATAAACGTAGCATAACAAAAATTCAGTATTATTTTGTTTTTAAGACGTCAGATGCTTTACCTTGCATATCAGCTTTTTGGACTAAATTGTGCTATGTATTTTGCCATTTGTAAAAGTTAAACACATTTTTAAACATTTATTGATAATTTGTTTTGCTGATTCTTCCAGTTTTTATCAAATTGGGTTTTACCTGGATAAAGTAGGCTCTAGCTGGCATCATTGTTCATTTGTTATCTGTAATATGCTTGTATATTGTGTGTTTTCTTGCTAAATTAGCACATATATTTAGCAACCAGTTGGCTTGCTTAATCATATTTTGATAATATCTTTATTGTCAATTTCTTTTCCATGTAGGTGAACTCTAGTCAGATCTGTTAGATGTAAGTTGACTTTAACCAGTGTGACCTTTTAGCTTAGTGGAGAATGTTTCAAAGTTGCTGATATATTTCCTATGTAAATATTTGACTTTTACTCCCATAAGTTTCTTGATAATTTGGACCATTATTCTTACATTACTTAGCTTAGGTAATGTTATTTTTTTTCCATTGGAAAGTCAAATCTTGAAAAAAAGAATCCTTCCAAAGATATAGAGCTTAACAGTAATTGAAAACATTCTTACTTCATGTTTATAAAATTTGATGAATTCAGACAAGGCTTGTATCATATTGTGTCAGACACCTATATTACTTAAATGTGCATTGAAACTCTTGTATTTTGTAAATGTCATATTCTCTTTAGTCTAGATACGTATTCCAGTTTATTCCATGAAATCATGTCATCTTCCCATTGCATTAGAAAAAAAAACCTGCATTTATTCTTTTCATCTGTTACTATGGTGCTCAACAATTCAAATCCTTAATGGTGCCAAACTGTGTTCAAGTTTTTGTATTTAAAAAAAGCATTGTTTTATTTTGTCGGAAATGTCAAATAAATTTTGGATTATTTTATATGTTATTTTGTTATTATGAATATTTAGCGATATATCCCTAAAGCAGAGGAAAGGATAAATGGAATCACCCTGCGTGTCCATCTTTGTTAATTTTATATGCAGGTCATAACATGGTGTACACTCGTTATCTGACTTTATGAAGCACAAGGTGATTTGGTTCAAGGTCTGTGTCAAAATTTGTATGTGGTCAATATTTCTGCAAAATGTTAAAATTCTATTTGATCTAATGTAGGATTCCTTGCACACAGAAACTATACAAACGGTGTTACAAGCTTCCCTGAATTGAGGAACAGAGCACTTTTATATGGTTATATAACAGAATGAGTTTGACAGGATGCTCTTATCAAAAGTATAAAATCAACCTTGCTTAGGTGCCATAATTAAACGCCCCAGAATGGACAGCCTCCGTCTCTCAGTACTTTCAGTACTTCGATTTGTGATTAAAAATATATTCATAATCAGGATGGCGATTTTTTTTAGTACATTACTTATATCGGACAATTGTAATTATGGTTGATATCTACATATTGAGGAGGATTAGATTTTATATTTAGACTTGACACGTGATGCGGCAGTCACGTGATTTAACCACATTTACTTGCGGTATTGAGGTCACCTTTGAATCTCACTAGTGCAAGGGCATAACCAAGTTAAAATTCTAAGTTTAGTTTAAAAATATTTTCAACACGCATTGTAGTTTCTGAAAAGTGCTGCCATCCTACCTAGATTCTGCTATTTCATTTTTAAAATCGTATTTGTATGACCGAATGCTGTATTTTTTGCTGGTCAATGGCATTAAATATAGATATAATTAAATTATTTTCAAGATTTCATCAGGATCGCAGCACTTTTCAGATACCTTAATACTTCTAGAGTTGATTTGTAAAAGCTTACTATGATCCATTGAGTGTATGCCCTTGCACTAGATCGATTTATTAAGACCCTCACATTACCCTCTGATGTACTTGCATACAAATATACGGCAGTGTCAATTAAAAAGGAAATATACGAAAAAATTTACGAAAAATATTTTAATAAAATCGTAAAGAAGACATTAAATCCAAGTTAATGGCCTATGAAATATCTGTAAATAATATTTTAAAGAATACATTTTTCGTTGAAAAAATATTACTTGACCCGCCTCTAACTGCATACAAACTGCGTCAAGTTTTACGAAATGACGTCACATCGACAAGTGCATTGCGATCAGTGACTTATTTATACCTTGTTATGTGGGATTTAACTAACGACAAAACAGCATGTTATAGTAAGTTTTGATGTAGTTTGATGGTCTCCTAAAGATTAAAATAGTAAATCACCTCATTTTGTGGTAATTTTAGGAATTGTTGGTTTTGTATGATGTCATAGTTAATTTTTCCCGTACAAATTAGGCTCCGCCCCCTTTTTGTAGCCTTAACTGTGCTGCGTAGTTTAAGTAGGGTACTTTTATCAGCTCCCCATTTTGTGTTTGCTATAACTTTAATAATATCTAGTGCTTTTGAGCATTTCTCTTTAAGCATCTTTATGTGTGGAATAAAGGAGAGTTTATTATTAAAGATGACACCTAAAAATTTTATTTCTTTAACTACTTTAATTGGAGTTCCGTTTAATAGCAATTGTGGATCATCATGGATTTTCCGTTTTAAGCAAAAATGCACACATGCTGTTTTACTCTGTGAAAATTTAAAACCATTACTATCGGCCCAATTTTGAATTTTGTTTAAGCATGATTGTAATCGCCGCTCAATGTAATTCATATTTTTAGACTTGAAACACAAAACAAAGTCATCAACATATAAGCTACCATGCATATCATTTTTAAGTACTTCAGCTAAACTATTTATTTTTAAACTGAATAAAGTGACTGAAAGGATACTTCCTTGTGGTACACCCATTTCTTGTTCGAAATTGTCTGAAACTGTAGATCCTAATCGCACTTTAAAAGTTCTATCATTTAAAAAGTCCTTAATAAAATTAGGTAAATTTCCTTTGAGACCAATATCATAAAGATCTTTTAAAATACCATATTTCCATGTAGTATCGTATGCTTTTTCTAAGTCAAAAAATATAGATACAGCATGCTCTTTTTTAACAAAAGCATTTCGAATATAGGTTTCCAGTCTAACTAGCTGGTCAGTTGTACTTCGTTTTTTTCTAAAACCACATTGTATATTTGTAAGAATGTTATTTGTTTCAAGAAACCATATTAAGCGTTCATTGATCATCCGTTCCATGGTTTTACATAAACAGCTTGTTAATGCAATTGGTCGATAATTATTAGGGTCTGCATGGTCCTTTCCAGGTTTTGGAATAGGAATTATTGTGGCTTGAGTCCAGGAAGGTGGGAATTGACCTCCTTCCCAGATTGTATTAAAAATGTGCAGAAGACACTCTTTACTCTCTCTAGGAAGATGTTTAATTAATTGATAATGGATTTGATCTGGTCCTACGGCTGTATCGTGAGATTTATCTAAAGATTTTTGCAACTCTTCAAACGTAAATGATTCATTATAACATTCTTTGTTTTCAGATGTAAAATCTAATGTTTTCTTTTCTTGTGTATTTTTATATGTTATAAAATAAGGACTCATGTTGTTTGTCGAGGAGTTATTAGAAATTGTATTACCTATTTCATTAGATATTTCCTTCTTATCAGTAATAATTTGATTTCCAATATTAAGATGTTGATATTTTTCAGGACCTTTTCCTTTTATTTTTCTTATTGCATTCCAAACTTTATTGATAGGGGTATGTGTATTAAGGTTGGAAACAAACTTTTTCCAGGACCTTGTTTTGCTAAAATTAATAGTTCTGCGGGCTTTTGCTCTAAATACACGGAAGTTGCGTAAATTTGTTGATGTAGGTAAT